GATATTTGTAGAGTAAGCCAAGGTCGCCGTCATGTTATCGATATTTCTATAGAAGAAGCCAAGATGAGCATAGAATTCCCCTCAGTACATGGACTTATGCCAAAATTGGTTATTGTTAGTATCAAATCATTATTTGGGGGGTTTCATCTAATTTTGCCAAAACGTATATCAGGCAATGTAGTTGTTAGTTCGTCCAGAGCGTCAAACAAACATGTAGTTATAAAGCAGAACACATAATAGAAACTACAAGGAACGTTTTCAGTGCCGCGACGGTCACTTGTTGTGCCGCAACACCATATTATCACTTTAACTGGCTAAATCAAATACGCGTAAATCAAGTACGCGTACAGAAGTGTAGTTTTAATGGCTCATTGCTCAAAAGTTCGCTCGCTCCCTAGGCAATAAATTAAGTTCTTTAAAACTCGCCAGTTAACTCCTTTTTGTAGAATCTATCGTTTGAAATTAATGATTCTTAACTTTGCCTACCCGGAAGGGAGTTTTTTTTAAGCTCCCTGTGGTTAACTATAGTAGTAGCCTACTTTAAATTATTTGTCGAGACAAAGTCCTCATTCAGGAATGCCGATAACTACCTAACAACATCTAGGTCAAAGTAAACACTTTTAATGAGTAATTAAAGAACTCTGCAGAGTTCTGTATTCACCATAGTTTGTAGTCAAGTTATTTAAACATATAAGCATTCCAGATGATTTTGTTTTTGATTTCAATGTTTCGATGGGTTAGCATGAACAAAATGGGGTATGTTTCACTAATAAACATGAATGTCCCACCCCCTCCCCCAGCACGTTTTATACAGTCACTAAGTATTTGCGAGCATTTCATGGTCAAATTAGTCTAGTTCGATTTAACTCAAATCCGCATATTAATGAATCTCTTTTGTTTCGCTGTGGTTTTGAATCTCGCGCGGTTCAGTACCAGTCTATATTTTTTAGTTAATCGATCGTGAACATAAATGGAAGACCACAGAAATCAAAGTTTCTACGAGATTGTTTGATACGGCAATGATAAAAATTCAAAAAAATGATGTGAAAAGATCATACGCAAAATCTATCAAATCGATCATGGCGCTGGTAAAAATACATATTAGCGCAACCTGCACACTGTATGTTCCACAAATCGACACGAAGTGGTTCTTGTCTGTTTTTGCTATGTATTTATCGATATTTAAACCAGCCGGGATTTAAACTAACTGTACATAAAAACTTACTGATGTCTTTAGAGAATGATTGTAAACTTAAAACCTTAATTCACCATTTGAAAAAGCAGAAAACATCAGTTTTGTGTTTATATAATTATATAAGTCATGATAAAAGTTCCATATCAAAACAAGAACGCATGGGGTCTCGAATATGCCAAGTTCGTTCCTTCTGAATGTGACCGTCCGGCGGATTCAAACCTATTGCTGTTCATCTTAACCACTTCAACGTGATCGAGAACCAAGCAGAATCCCAATCAAACAACTCCTGTAAAAAGGAGTTATCTGGCCAAATTTGAAGGGCGTACTTGATCTATAGAGAGCGAGTAAACTCATTTTTAGTTCCCCATACATTCCTTTGTAATTTCCGGGGTCATTGTCCCAAAACGACATTTGTTTTTGTAACCCTTTATTTTTCAGAATTAGAGACCACATAGATCCCATCCTGCGGAGTAACCAAGGAGGCGTCCGGAAAGGCAGGAGCTGTGCACAGCAAATCCACATTCTCCGGAGGATCATGGAGGGCTTCAAAGATGGACAACTTCCAAAGAACATCACATTCATAGATTTAAAAAAAGGCGTTCGACTCGATAGACAGAAAGGTCATGTTTGCTTAGACACTATGGAATCCAGGAAGCAGTTCTTAAAGCCATTATGCGCTAGTCAATTGAAACCCCCGGGGAATACGTGGGAATTTTCGTTTGAGTGGTGATAAAACAAGACATTTTCCCCAGTAGTTGGGTCACATTCATTGTTTTAAAATCCCCGCTACTGTTGCCCCGCTATTTTAGTCTAGTAGTAAATAACAAAACAAACAAGAGTAGTTTGCATCATACAACGAAAGTACTAACGAACGAGCGAGGAACATCGCACTTTCGATGAAATAAGCTACCGTATTTAATTGAATAGACGCCGCGATTATTCGAGTAAATACGGTATAAATCTTTATACTCATAAAATCATTGTTTCAATTACGAGCACCATTAGGGAGATGACATTTCAACGAATTTCAAATGAACGAAAAATCAAGAGAATTGTGCTACATATTTTTAAAAGATCACTTTTGAACATCGTGACATCATTGCATCGATCCCATAAACCCATGTTCATACGGTGAGCCCGCCTCTTTCATAATTATAAGAAGCGCAAGTGAAATAATTTAGGTCAAAGGTCAAGGGAAAGTCCCTTAATTATCACGTGAGTGGAGTCTTCATGTTCAAGTAAGTAGTCTCAAGTCCAGGAAAGACTATACAGCTCAATTATTCATCGCCGACGGACGTCGGATTTCTAAAGGAAAAAGTTTGGAGTATAAATTAAGGTGAGAAGCTTTTTTCTGTCCATAAGCGGAGAAAATGCAAGATTAATTTATTAATGACATCTCTATTGCTTTTGGGACTCCGTTCTCGTTAATATGCTATTGTAATTCCTGTTCGCTCTAATAGCAATGCTTCCTCGCTTCAATATACATCCCCTTGCATTTAATAAGCAGGCTGAAAATATATCAAAAACCTTAGATTGTTGCGAATTCTTGGGTTGCAACCCCCGAAGTGAAAATTTATCATTCGTTATTATTCGTTATTTTCAAAAACCAAGTAGCAAGTCATAAAGAGCATAGTCAAATTATCTAGAATACAAGCTTTTAGTCCTGTAGCTTACTTTTCGATGAAGATATAAGCGAAAAAAGATTTGAAAAATTTGGTTAATATGTATGGGGACGCCATCTTGGATGATAACTTTGATCATCCAAGATGGCGTCTGATTTCAAATTAACTTTAAAAACTGGTTTCCTTTGTAAACTTTGATCAATTATGACTTTATTTCAAAGAAAAATTACCTTAAGTAAGTTCTTACGGAGTTGAAAGAATGATCTATCTAATCTCGAAGTTTTTATTTACGATCTACGGTAGAATAAATTAAACTCCGCACAAACTAAAACTTTTGTCTTTCGCCACCAAAGCGTTGAATTCGTATGAAAATTTGCATACACACTATTTAGACGTATATTTAAGATATACTGTAAGAAGGGCTCTTTAGAAAAAATATCTTGGATTTTTCGATATTTTTTGCTTGAGTATGACGTCACATGCAACCCACCGTATATAATAAAACACTTTAAACCAATCTAAAGAAATTATCCTTCAGCAGCATCAGGAGTAATGATATGGCAAATGCGGCCAGACATTGCTGTTAAATGGTAATACTTAACACAATCAAGAACTCTAATACTCCATATTAAAGTTCAAGGACCATTTTTAATCTCAAGACCACTTTCATAAGTGCCCTATACAATTTATAATATTATGGAAACATTCAACACTGTCATATAGAAGAACTATTAAAAATAGGTGTTCGTGGAACTTTTTAAAGTCATAAACTACTTACTTACAAAGTTATCGATGAATAAAAATACATAGATTTGTATGAATTATTTACTGGTGACTGGGTACCCTCGTTTTGGTGTTTTTGTACCTCTTCTAACCCTTATAACTTCAAGTGGATTTAACATTTTTCTTTGAGACTTTCAGATTTTATCTTTGGCTTTGATATCTATCATTGGATTGTTTTCTTTCGTTAACATTATGAATTGAGAGATAATATGCTAATTAGTGTCAGCCATTATGAGAGTCGTGGAATTAGAGTGCCAAGTCATGTACCTGTAGTTTTAAATTACCAGGAATTCTATAGCTTTGGATTACCAGTGAGTAGTTTTAATGTCCAGCGATTTGTATGCTGTAGGGTTAAGATCAATATTTTCAGAATAATTGGAAAATGTTCAAATATCATTTTATTGTATTTTTATAATTACCTTAGTTTATGTTCATGACGCAGTTTAGAGATATTCACGTGTTATCGATATTTGTAAGTAAGCCAAGGTCGCCGTCATGTTATCGATATTTCTAGAAGAAGCCAAGATGAGCACAGAATTCCCCTCAGTACATGGACTTATGCCAAAATTTTTTATAGTTAGTATCAAATCATTATTTGGAGTTTAATTTTGTAAAACGTATATCAAGCAATGTAAAAAATAATAGTAGTTAGTTCGTCCAGAGCGTCAAACAAACATGTAGTTATAAAGCAGAACACATAATAGAAACTACAAGGAACGTTTTCAGTGCCGCGACGGTCACTTGTTCTAACGTTTGAAATTAATGATTCTTAGTTTTAGAATTGGAATTCAACGGGAACTAGACCCTGACAGCAGGGTGTACTCGTACGTTGAAAAGTGCTAGCTTATTCAGTACTTTTTTTTTAATTGAGATCATTTAAAACTTTTCACTTGTTCGGCCAACCATGTAATATAAGAAAAGTGCTTTTAACAACAAGATTGCCCCTTCCCGGGGGCGGGGGTTTCAATTGACTAGGGCATATAAGAGCAATGAATGTTTGTAATTATTTTTTTGGAAATCATCAGTAGTTCCTAGGATTGTTTATCATCAAATCCATCAATGTAATTAAAGATCTAACTTCGATGCAACATTTTGATAACCTGAAAAGTAAGCCTTATGCTATTTATATTTATATGCTGACCAGCAAACCAAGTTATCAAAGAATGGACAAAAGTATGCAATTTTTATGGATATGATTTAACTAATAATTTAATACTTTTTAAATAAAATTATGGAAATTTCCCTAATGTATAATGATTCAATAATACATTTTTATCAAGCAAAACCCCGAGTTCACGCAGCTATGCTGTTTTCAGGCAATCCAGAATGAAGAAGTTTGTTGTGGGGTTATTGTTGATGGTCATTATTGTGGACATGTTTTGTCCATCTGAAGCTTGGTTGAGGAGGAGGAGGAGGAGAAGGACACAGCGATGTAACATTTTAGCGAAACACAATGGATGGGATAATCATTTCGACGGAGATTTGAAATTCAAATGTCCTGCAGGTATGGAAGGAAAACTGTATTTTACCTTTTTACATGCAGTAGAAATTCGCAGTCTCCAGATTTTTACTAGGACGTCCCGCCAAACAAGGTATGGTTTTCGGCCTTCGTGTCTTGAATAAGGTCAGGGTTTTAGTATAATTTATAATTTGATGTCAATGGAAGACATACATGACACGATGAGCGGTTCGAGTACAAACAGTATCGAGAATAGTTGAGTTTTTCCATCTTTTTTAACCAGGGCCGTAACTAGAAGATTTATCGAAGAGGGGGGGGGGGGGGGGGGGCACATAAATAAAAAACGGACCTATGAGTAACATTGCGACTCTTTTTCGTGTTTTCGTGATTGAAAAATGAAATGTTGATAAAAGCGGACTTTTTTGCACTGATGGTGGGGTGCACGTACACCCTGTGCTCCCTCCTAGTTGTACGGGCCTGTGGAAGTTAAGATAAAACTCGTTAGATTTTAAACTATGTCCATTGCCTCCTAAACACACAGACCATCTTGTATTTTCACGAGCTGCTACTGGATAAATAGAGGATATTACATGGTTTTGAGGCTATAGTATAAATAAAAGGGATAAATACTACATAGTTTACTAAATTGATATTAACTTTTTTTAACTTTCTTATACGCAACACCTAGGAGAAGCAATAAGGAACTTTCAATCGACTTACCTTGGTTGTGCCAAAGACCGCGCGTTCGGATTCCATTGTTCATCTAACAAGTACACAAAGAAAATGGGGAGTTGCAGTTGGTCCAGTTACGCCAATTCCTGGGACCAGCCCCTTGTTTACACGTGCCCAAACCATGGTGTTCTGGCTGGGGTTGAAAGTGTGCATCATAATCACTATGAAGACAGGTAAGCAAAATGAACAATGCGAATATTAAAGTCATGATATATGTTAAGATGAATGTGATACCGAATATGTTGATAATCAACATCGAATAGAATTGGACAGTACGTAAGAGCAACATTTCTGTTTTATCACAAAACCATCATCTGCCTGGCTAATAGAGTGTACGCCACATAAGCATGAAACAATTCTTAACTAATTAGCGCCTAATAAGATTTAGTTATCAACTAACTAAGAATTCACTGGGGCATGAACACAATAATAATAATAATAAGAAGAAGAAATGCTTATATAGCGCACTATGCATAGTCTTAGTGCGCTTTACAAATATATATAAATAAATATAATAAATACATAAAAATTAGAAATTAGAAAAACATATCACAATATTAAAATGCCAGAAAGGAAACTTGTCTTTGTTTATGTCTCACTAAATTCTTAGTTAGTTGATAACTAAATCTTATTAGGCCCTAATTACTTAAGAATTGTTTCATGCTTATGTGACGTGCACTTTAGTTTACAAAACGCAATGACAATACAATATATAATATAGATGGATTATTTAGATAGAGTATTTTGTTTTGAATTGCTGTAGTTTAACATCCATATTATGAAAAAACTGTCAGCCTGTCCTGGATTATGACATATTTAATCTCAAGAAACTCTAAATACAAGAAAAAAAGATTTCATTTAGTTGGCCTTTTATTAATAGCATGTTATTCATTGTCGCTTTTACCGCTTTTAGTAAGCATATCTATCAATCTGTGTAGAAGAAAAGTTTTATTTTCTTTACGCTTCAGGAGATTCAAGTTCTATTGTTGCCATAGCCGCTTGTACCATGCCAATTTCTGCAAAACCAGTGGCTACGTGAACGATTGGAGATCTAACATGAATTTTTGGGCGCCATGGAATCGGTTCATCGTTGGGGCAATCAGTTTTCACACCAATAGTCAAGAGTAAGTACTAAAGATTGGAACAGATAACGCGAAAGTATACTCTGCCACTCAGGGAATTCAAACTGATCAATAATTTTCCTAAACGCTTTATAGAATTACTATACGGGTTAACTTTTATTTTATCATTTTTGGACTTGGCCAATATAAATCGGTCTCTGGGGGAGCCGGCGTACAAGCGAAATTTAGACATACCTAATTTGCATGTTATTTTGGCGTTGTTTAACTCGTTTTCCTGTAGAAACCAGGCAATAAAACAAAGTATAATTATACAATGAATTTGAATGAGACCTATGGAAACATTCATTGGCCGTAATAACAACGCTTTTGAAGTATTTATATAATAATCCTTTTTCCAGTTCAAAGCGAACAACCGCTGATTTAGCTGACAACATTCTCTCATGCGCAGAGACCTGACCAAAATCAAAAGAAAGCAAAAAAAATGTTGTCATTACAAAAGCGCTAAGCCTGTATTCCCAGAAGGTTCAACGTCTTGCTCAGGCTAAGCCTCGAATCGGAGGAGATTCAAATTTCTAGAGCTATTGTAATGTCAACATTTTTTCGTGTTTTTTTTTGTCCTCTACGCAAGTGAGTCTGTTGTCTATTAAAACAGCAGTCAAACGCATTGAACTGGAAAAAGGATTATTTAAAGTTCGCCCCTATACTGTCTGTTCAAAATAGCGTGACATTCACATTTTTATGCACAAATTGTAGCAAAGCGACAAAGAAGTCGTATGCAAATTAGGCCTTTTAAAATGTGCTTCTCTGTTCTCTCTATTTTTTGGGCCCACGACTAAAATTAATCCAAATCCAAAAATCCATGTTCTCTCAAAATTTTTTGCTATTATCCGGACTTGCAATGAATAGCAATTTTTTGCGCTTACAGACCGGACTATTTCCGGCATCCAACATCATCACCATTCATCCTCATTATGGAAAACCCGTCACTTATGCAACAAATCACAAACATTCTGCCCTCTAATATATAAATGATTTGTGCCCCGTCCGTCTTATAGGTATTACGCAATAATTATCGGTCAGGGTGGGATGAAAAATGAGGAAAAAAACAGGTGGAAAAATTAAGACGCCCCCCTCACATTTGAAGAACATTATGCCATGCCCCCGCTAGCTTAACTGAAAGATTAGATTACATCTACCTCCCATTTTCTTCAAAGTTAGAGCTCTATCTAAGCATGTTCTAAGTGAATGCAATTGTTTCGGTGAGGAACTTTTGCTGTATTTTCTGACAATACATGACAGCCGAAAACCCGATCATCCACTCATCTAAGTTCGAAAAAAATGAAACAAGCACCAAATGGCGACTAGCGAATATGAACGGAGTGAAAAGAGCCCGAAAAAACGCAGTGAATTATATCTTATTTTCACAGGGACCGTCGCTGGAGGTTCAAATACTGCCAAGTTTACTAGCAGCCTGTAAACCTCACTGCCATATGAAAGCGAAACCCAGCAAAAATGACAATCTTAACGGCAAAATCTTAATTTTAATGTTAGGCAATGATATTACTATAATATAATCATGATGTTAATTAAAGTAAGGGGGTAAAAATAATGAATAATAAAGGTAAACAAGCATCTAAAACAGCTTTGAATATGTTTTAAACCTCCTTGAACGGTATTTTCCGTGCCAAAAATACAGCATATGTCATGGCTGTGCAAAAACTACATCAAAACTCGTGCCTTGACCGTGCTGTACTGGGTTTTCCTCTACAGTCAACTCTCGCTAATACGGACACCCTCGGGACCGTAATTTAGTGTCCTAAATTCACTTTTTAACAAGCTATTGTAGCATTGAGATAAATGACATTATTACTTGTGATGTATGAGTCTTATAGAGCACGAATACTAGTAACAGACACGACTTTCTGCTCGAGCGATAGATTTCTTCAGCTATTTTTGTCGCCGTTTAAATAACTGTACTCTGTACCAGTACTATATGATGAGTGAATACTGACTACCCACAATGCCGTTCGGTAGTGAATGCGGAATCGGTTGGTCTTTCTAGCGACAACACACGAATCAGTAGTACATATATGAATAGGTCAACTTCCTTGCGTTCAAATATACGTCATTAATACTACGTCGATAATTGTCGCGAGTGTAATTTTAAACAGAGTTCGCCTTTAATAGTTTCGCTTATTTTGCTCAATCCAAATATCAAAGACCAAAACCAATCGTCTGCAAACTAAAGCATATCATATCCTAGTGTATTTACAATGAAGATAATTGCAGTGTAGATACTGAAC